ATTTATTCGAATGATCCAAGTTGATAGATTGCTGAATTCTGAGATAGATTTTTACTGCTTACTCTTCTAACCTGATTTGAAGGCAATTGAGCCAATGATTTAGATAGATTTTAATTTAGGATTTTTAGCTTTCATTAAAGTTTTGATTTATTTGTTAATCAGATAAGAAGTACTCAATTTAGTATTGATACTTGTTTCCTAAATCCTCATGGGAACGATACTTTACTCACTACTTTATTATTTGAATGGCTAGTGCACTTACTAGTGTCACACTGAGCCACACATCATCAACCCAACTCAACGAATAGGACTATCTCCACCCATATCATATACACTTCCTCTATTCTTGGTGAAGATAATAATTACAATTATCTAATGCCACTATATCAATGAATTGGGTTTGGCATGGGCCACCCTTAATGTGTGCCGCCCAACCCAAACAGCAATGAAAAGTTTATTCAAATCCCAATAGGGTCGGGTCATGGTAGGCTTACCACTTAAGCAATTGAAGAAAAAAATAAAATAAAAAGAACTCTTTGACCAATGGTTAAATCTCTATTAATTTATCAACAATGGAAATGGGTCTCTTACTTTCAGAGAAATTATCACATATTAAGGATACCCACTTTTATTTTAATCAAGTAGCTAAAAGAAACATCGTATAAAAGCAGATGGAGAGCACATAAATATGAAACTTAAACACTAGATGGGTTTGCACTTTACAGAACCACCTGCTCATGCCATAGAAGATAACAATGGATTAAAAGGGAGGAGGATGGCTAGGACCAGATGGAGGAACTGGTCCTTTAGGAAGGTAACCAAAGCTTATTTTTTCATGATCAACACTTTGGGCAGGAGGATGGCTTGGACCAGACGGAGGAACTGGCCCTTTAGGAAGATAGCCAAACCTTGTTTCTTCAAGACCAGCACTTACGGTAGAAGGTGGAGGATGGCTTGGACCAGATGGAGGGACTGGTCCTTTAGGGAGATAGCCAAATCTTGCTTCTTCATGGCTAACACTTAATGTTGAATGAGGCGGATGGCTTGGACGAGACGAACCCATATGAAGATTAACGAACTTTATTTGTTTGTGACCAACACTTGGAGTAGAAGGAGGAGCATGGTTTGTACCAGATGGAGGAAGTGGCCCTTTAGGAAGATAGCCAAATCCTCCAAGCGCATCAAACCCTTGGGCTTGCCTCGTCTCAGCACCATGTGAGACATATAGCGTAGCATCAAGAGCTCTAATTGCTGCAGCACCACCAATGGCGAATGCTAAAAGGAAAGTAACTAGTATAGCCTTCATTCCTTTCATTGCTATGATTTGGTTATCTGGTTGCCGATACAACTGGTTGAGACTTAATTCTACATGTATTTATACAAAGTCGAGAAGGCAAAAATGGTAAGATTGCAACCGTTAAGATTCCATATATCTTTGAATTTATTAGGGGTGTAATTGATTAATTATGTATATTTGATTTCCAAGATGAATGGCGTGCCCAAGCTTCATTCTCGGTTTCAAAGAGATTGGCATACCTATTGGTTTTTGCAGCGGGGAAGTTTGCCACGTGGAGAGGTGATTGCCCAATAAAATTAAAATCCCCATCAAACACGTTAGCTATATCTCCTCATTAATGGTCTGTGTCTGCTGGGCCTGCATTAATTTTGATTGTCCCATACTCTGATATATTTGTGGTACAGCGGTGGAAATTGGGCAGGTTGGGTTGGGTTGAGTTTCAACTCAATCCATCTAACCGCCTACCCAATCCAGTTATATAAAATTAAATGGGTTGGGCTGAGTTTTAACTCAATTCTTCTAACCGGCCAACCTGTTAATGACCCAGTTATATAAAATTAAACGGATTGGGTTCAACCCAAACCCGTTTTGACCCAATCAAATCTGCCCAAACCCATTAATCTTATATTTATGTACTTAAAATAAAAGGCTAATTCCTACTTGAAAAATAAAATGGTCATAGCTTAGTGGTAATAGTAGTTGTTATTTACGTGAGCGGTGAAGATTCAAATCACATTACATGCATGTTACTTTTACACAAGTGGCAAAGCCATTTGATTATGGTCGGGTTTTGGGTTTGACCAAACCACTTAGGTTCAAATCGGTAAGACCAACTTGAATTATCTAATTGGATTGTTTTCGAGCTAATCACATTAAGAATGGTTGAACCGTTTGGATTCAGATTAATTTGGTCAAACCGGTTCAATCAATGGTGGATTGACTCAGACCGGCCCATATCAGGTTGTGCATAGGTTTGAAACCGAATTGACTGGTATGAAGTGCGTCATGGGAAGTACATTGAGCTGGTCTAAATTTGGGTCGGGTTGTACAAATATGAGTCAGCCCGAGCGATCCGAACAGTGTCAAAGCAAGCTGGACATATTTTGGGTCGAATTGTACTAGGTTTGGGACGAACCAGCCTGTCCAGCACCACTTCAGATTCGGGTCGGCATAACTCGACCTGATCTGGATCGGGTTGGGTTTGAAATGAGCTGGCCGACCCAAACGAACCGAACCGAGGTGATTGGGTCTATTCATATTTAGACTGAGTTGAGCTTGTCTGAACTCGGGTCGAATTGATTTGGATTTACGTCGATTTGGGTGAAGTGTGTTGGTTCGAGGCAAAACTAATTTTAGTCAATAATTAATAGTAAATTAATACATTAATTATAAATTATTTCACTCAAATGAAGAAAATTAAAAAATGGTTAAGGAATTAATACTTGTATATTTAGTGGTTAACCATACCCAACCCAACCCATTTAAATTGACCCAATTGGTGATCAACCCATTTCCAACACGCCAAGTAAATGGGCAGGTTGGGTGTATTAGATATTGGGTGAGTTGAATAGATTTAGTGAGTTGGGTGAGAAATTGCCACCCCTAATCGGGTAAAGTTGCATACATCTGTCCCTTGTGATATAGTGAGTTTAGTGCGAATGGCTTCAATTTGTGATATCTTACAATGAAATGCAATAAATTTATTAAATTTTCAGTGTCCCAAACCCTAATCCAAACCTAATCTAATTAAAATTCTTCAAATTTGGCATAGCCCCACCCTCTAATCACGGCATGTTGGTGCTTAAGCCAGTATGGATCAGTGACAAAGACCCTTCTATACTTTTTTACAACAAAGACTCCTTGAGTTTTGGCAGTTAAACAAAGACACCATTAATGATTAAGCCAGATGACAGAATACATTAAATTACCAAAATACTCAACTTTCATTATTTCTTTTTGGGAAAATTCCTGATCAGTACCCTGTACTTTGGTTCGAGTGACAATTTGGTCGCCTAACTTTAAAATGCGACAATCCAGTACCCAGACTTTCAAAATGTGACAATCCAGTACTTGCCGTTAACCAATCCGTTAATCAGTCGTTAAGTGACATTTGAAAAGTAAAAAATGTCCTTCGAATGCCATCTAATTCTCTTTAGGGTAAATTTCTTAAACTACCCTTATGGTTTAGCTAATTGACTAACTCTACCCTTACTGTTTGAGAAGTGACTAAGTGTACCCTTACTGTTTCTGACAATTGACTAAGTATACCCCTAACCGTTAACCATGGACAGAAAAGCTAAAAATGCCCGTTATACCCCTATACAAAATTACATTTTTATCCCTGATTTTAAATTAACTGAATCCCTCTCACACACTCGCCCTATCTGTCGAAGGGAAGAGAAGACGGGAGCATCATCCTGATGGCTCACCATCGCCATCTCCACCGATGGCGACCGTTGCAACTAACGAACGGCGAAGGTTTGACGGAAATCGAACAGAGGTTGGCAGTGGGTTTTTTATTCCTGTTAACACCCCCTTTTGTTTAAACACTAAACAAAATAGAGATGAGTTTTTTTACTTTTACTGAAGGTTCTTTTGTTTTTTGTTTTTCACTGAAGGAATCTTTAGTGTCTAATTATAATAGTGTTATTTTTTCGCTTTTGCAGGAGGAACAGTCATTTGGTCACATCTCATCTCTTATGGAAAGAGGTGAATAAAGGGAGGCGGAAGGTTGAGGGGGGGAGAGAAGGAGGAAGAATAGGAGGAAGGAGGGCAATCTGGAAGTGGACTTTTAGATGTTCGATGAAATGCTAGAGCAATCCTACCGTAGTTACGCCAGCGCACACCCGTGCATGCCTGCACACGCCTGCACACGCCAGTGCACATCCGCGCACGCCCCAACATGCCAATGTACGCCCGCACATGCCAGCGCAAGTCCGTGCATGCCAACACACTCGCGCACGCCAACGCACGCCCGCACACACCAACGCATTTCCACACACACCAGCGCATGCTCATGCACACCAGCGCACATGCCAGCGCACGCCCGCACACACCAACACATGCCCGCACACACCAGTGCGTGCCAACGCGCACCCAGCCTGATGAAACCTGCACACCCCCGCGACCTCGAGCATCTTTCTAATACCACAAAGGTTTTTTGCCCATGTGGTGGTGGGGAGTGTGTACTTGTGGCGCGGAATGGGAAGGCTGAGAATGTTGGGCGGGAGTTCTATGGTTGTCACTACTACGTAGGTTATACAAAACCTTTGTTATTGTTGTAGTTTGTTAACGTTTCATATAACGCAAATTTTTTGTTATTGTTGTAGTTTGACAGTGATAGAAGATGTAATTTCTTTGGTTGGAAGGGTGAGATAAGGTGTTGTCCATGTAGAAATGGGGTTTGCAGGGTCTTCACATCTAAACGGCCTAGTACACAAGGGAGACGATTTTGGGTTTGTGCAAAGCCCCAAGTAAGATTATTTAATCTTAGTTATTTATCTGTGCAAAGTTTGTTAAATATTCAATCGCTTAAAGCACACTATTTTTTTTTTTGGATGCAGGTGGGTGTAAGTTCTTTGCATGGATACCAAGGAGACCACAAGTCCAACAGAGTGTAACCATCAAAGGAGATGTGGTAGGACCTTCTAAAGACCCACTGGATGAGGTTGAAGCAGTTGTCCAGTTAGAGAAGGATAAATTCGATAGAATATCTGAATTTTGTGATAAATTTTTGGGTCGTATAAAAAATCTGAGAATCAAAGATGTATAATCTGATTTTGGCTTGGTTGCGACTTAATTTGCATACCTCTCGTCTCAAGATTTTCAAATCAAGGGGAAGAAATTAATCTGATTTTGGCTTGGTTGTGACTTAATTTGCAT